ATTCTCGAGAAGACATCTCGCATATTTGACCCTGCTGACAGTTGCCGTTCTCAGTATATTTACGTCTGGCATAAACGAGATAGTCATACCGCCAATTACCGGCACCTATGAGATCTCTTTGATATTTCACAAAGTAACCTATGGTATAAAATGGGATGAGGGATTCTTATGACCACTACTTTGCATATTTAATAATATTTTAGAATAAACATAACATAACATAAACACTCACGCCTGTCACTCAGAGGGGTAGGCAGAGACTACAGACTTCCATTTGGCACGGTCCTGACACACCTCTCTCGCCTCCTTCACATCCATACACCTACGCATACATGCTCGTCGGTTAAGGGTACTCCTAATTTGGCCCGTTTTCAATAAATCGCCAATTTGGTCGATAAATTTTCGCCTAGGACGTCCCTTTCCGACTCTGCCATTCACTTCTGCAACATAAATTTTCTTAGTCACTCTTTCCTCATTCATTCTATATACATGAACAAACCACCAAAGCATTCCTTTCTTAATCCTGGTCACAACATCATCTTGCAAACCACACTCTTCTCTTATTACACAATTTTTTACCCTGTCGTTCAGATTCAGCCCTAACATACTCCTTAAGGACCGCATTTCTACTGCGTTGATTCTACTCTCATGCTTCTTCTGCCACACCCAACTTTCACTACCATACGTTAAAGTAGGGACCAACACAGCATTGTGAATTGCCATACGTGCCTTTTTTGACACATTTTGACTCTTCACAATAGAGTGCAGAGCTCCATTTACTCTATTTCCCGCATTCACTCGTCGTTCTACATCCTTATTATATCTCCCATCCCTGCTAAATACGCAGCCCAAATATACAAACTCATCTACTTGCTCGATCAACTCCCCTTCTATTCTTATCCAAATCGTTTTACTTTCTTCTCTTTCAAAAACCATAACCTTCGTCTTACTTGCGTTCACTTTCATACCCCTTTCTTTTAATGATCTGTTCATTAATGTAACCATCATTTGCAACTCGGCCGCCGACGACGCAAGGATAACTCGATCATCGGCGTACAAAAGGCATTTGACGGTTAACTCACCCATTCTTAATCCGTATTCTTCAACTTTCAAATTTTGCAAACAACTGTCCATAAATAGGTTGAACAGCCACGGGGAAGCCACATAGCCGTGTCTGACACCTTTATGGATGTCAAACTAGTCCGAGTAGACCCCGTTGATCCTAACACAAGCACTAGAGTCCCTATAAAGAGACTCCAATGCCTGTATCAAGCCAGCGCTCATCCCAAATGAGTTCAGTGTTTGCCATAGCACATCCCTATCCACTCTGTCATAGGCCTTTTCCAAGTCCATGAACGCACAAAAAAACCTTTTGGTTTTTGGCCAAAAACTTCTCCGCGATCATGCCACCTATTCCTAGGCCCACCCTACACGTGTCCCCCGGGTGGTGCTAAATGAGTGACAAGCCGATACCACAGACTCGGCTCCACGCCGTGGTAGCGGCGTAAAACATACTACCCAATATTTTCGCACATATTTTAGAATAAAAACAACAAAATGATAAATTCAGTTTCTTCTTTTTCGTAATTAATCTGCTATTCATTCCAGCGTGTAAACATAGGCCTCCCCATGGATTGCCTTATAGAAGAGATTTTGCCATAGTAGATATGTTTGGCAGGCAGGTTGGCAAGCGAGATAACAACCGCAGTTTTTTATTATATTGAGTTGTTTTCATGGGGGGATATCCGCAGTAAATCCAGAGTGACCGACATAGCCCAACGGATTAGTAAGCTGAAGTGGCAATGGGCCGGCCATATAGCTCGAAGAACCGATAACCGATGGGGAAGAAAGGTTCTCGAGTGGCAGCCTTGTATCGGTAGGCGTAGTGTAGGGCGACCATGCACTAGATGGAGTGATGACCTGGTAAGATATGCAGGAAGTCGATGGATGCAGGTGGCTCAGGACCGTGCTCTGTGGCATTACTTGGGGGAGGCCTATGTTCAGCATTGGACTTGTGAAGGGCTGTAATGATGGTGATGATGATGATTTGTTTTCACCCATCTCAGTTTCCCTTTGTCGCTCTTACGTCACCCACTGGAGGAAATGGATATTCTTACACCGCCACTTCATGGATATTTTGTTGTATCCTTGTCTGGTTGGGACTTTTTTGTAAATAACTCATCGGGAAGTTGATTTAAAATCAATTACTAAATTCGATCCGAATACGCGAAAACGAGATAATAAAAACGTGGTAAAATAAGTATATACAAATAAAGACGTTTAATTTTTTTTCATTTGATGTAATTTGTTTTGTACTAATCCACTTTTTTATTAAATTTAAAAAGCCGAGGTATATTCATTCATCGTGAATCGCAGCCAGCGTTCTTGTCGCTATATCGCGGGGTCTATGATCATTTTAGTTAAAACGTAGTTATTATATTATATTATATTTATTATTATTTTATGTATATTATTATTTTATGTAAATTCAAACCTATTTTCTAACTTCTTAAATTGCAAACACATCATAAATATGCCGAGGCATCTGCATTTTCATTCTTAAACGAGGAATATTGTAGATATATATGGGCTACAGCATTTATTTACCATCAGGTGAACTGTGTGTTCGTTTGGCACCAATATCATAAAAAAATTTATAACTTACTTTACGTAGTCGTGAGAAAACTACGTGACATATTTAATTACTTCAAGTTAATTGAATCCGGTCATATAAACCGCCAATGCAATAATGAAATTATAACCAATATTCAAATGCACGTGTTCTTTTATGTAACCTTTAATTAACCTGCGATTATTGTTAAGATTTATACTTTGTATTTGCATTCTATTATTAGAAATATTCTTATTTTCTTAAAAGGTATAGAGAAATTCTGAAGCTATTTTATAGTTGTATCACGAATGAATTGACTTGTGTTTCATATAAGCGTAGAGAACTTTAATATTTCTCACGGGTAACAACGCATCCGCATTTTGATTCTTAATCCAAGATAAATGTAGATGGCTGTGGACCGTAACATCCATCCCATAGAGTAAATCGTGTGCTCGTTTATCCACTTGTCGTAAAAATAAAAAAATTAATAATGTGTACAATAGCATATTAATATTGGTGTTTTCGGCAGAGCAGCTTTTCAAACTGCTAAGTAAAGTTCGACAAGTTACCACAACGCTTTGTAAATAGTTATTGTTTACATACCGTAACTAGTAGTTAGATTATAAAAATAATATATATAAAAACAAAAATATCCATATACAAAAAATATACAACATGTCTAAAACATAAAATATACCATCAATTTTTACTTTTAAATATTAAGTTGGTATTTATGTGTTCCTACATTACCTTTTATTTTGATTAATTAGGATAGCAAACGAACACACAGTCCACCTGATGGTAAATGGATGATGTAGCCCATGGATATCTATCCTTGATTAAAAATAAAAATGCGGATGTGTTGCCCCCACCCCTGAGGACTAAGTTGGAATGCCACGTTTCCAGTAAAAAGTCACCATAAAAAGTTAACACTCACCATAAGAAAAACAGAAGCGTTCAGTTTCTATTAAGTGTGTGCTTGTTTTTCCACCCTTATGCTATACATTTGATATTTTTATTCATGATAGAGCCATGCTGCATTTATATTAGTAGTGTAGTTGTAGCACTAATGGATCGGCTCGATCGGGGAAGGACCACGCTCTCACAGAATACCAGCGTGAAATAGTAGCTTAATGCTGCTGTGTTTCGTTTTTTTTTTATAGAAGAGGGGGCAAACGAGCATGCGGCTCACCTGATGTTAAGTGACTACCGCCGTCCATGATCAACCGCAACAACAGGGGAATTGCAGGTGCGTTGCCGGCCCTTTAGAAAGGAGTAAGCTCTTTTCTTGAAGGTCCCCAGGTCGTATCGGTCCGAAAAAATTGCCGGTGGTAAACTATTCCACAGAGAGGTCGTACGCGGAAGAAGACTCCTTGTGAAACGTATAGTGGTGGACCGCCAGGCATCTAGATGGTGTGGATGGTATCGGGACGTTTGCTGCGTGGTGCGTTCACGAAATTTGGTGGCTGGGATTATTCCGAACAATTCCTGAGAGCACTCCCCGTGATATATGCGAAAGAAAATGCAAAGAGATGCAAAATCTCTTCGCAGCGCCGGTGAATCGAGCAGATCGGAAAGCACTCAGTCATCGACGATTCAAGCTCCTCTGCGCTGGATGCGGTCAAGTGGAAGGAGCTGGTACTGGGCAGCTCCAGTCCAGAGACGGGAAAAGTATTCTTTGGGAGTATCGGGTAGGACCCGAAGCGAAAGGTCGATCTGTTATGTCGTCCTCAAAAAATTAAATAAAAACAGTGTAAAAAGTGCACTAAATATCTCAAAATGTCATTATTTACGTGCATAAATAGTGGTGAAACTCTTTAGTGGTGTGGCAGTGGCTAAAAACTTTGGTTCAATACTAGATTTTGATCAAAAACTGAACGAAAAGTGAATTTTTTTTTCTTTTGCAAATGAAGGTGAATGTTAATAACTTCTCGCAAAACAAAACAAATAACGAGTGTCTCTAGTATCTCAAATGAATTTAGTCCGGAATATAACACTTAAATTCACCATTCATTATACAAGCCAGTTAGCCTAGTGGGGAGTGCGACGCGTTACAACCAAAAAGACGTGGGATCAAATCCATGATATATTCGACTTCTTTTTGTATGTTTCTTTAAGACAGCTTTTAACAACTTACAAAGAATAAACCTAAAGAAACAGAAAAGCAGTAGCATCAAATCCTTATTATGGGAATATAAATAGATTGTAGGAAAGTAAGCATATTTAAGATGAATACAAGCATAGCAACATAACATTCAGGCGCATGCTACATTATAATTCCAAAAATGATGCAGCATGCTTGGAGGGCTCAATAACCAATTATTCCGTTATTATGTACGGTGATAGTTTAAGGAGCCTTCCAGACGTATCTATACACAATAGCTCAAGAATGATTGAATTAGAAATGCAAATTGAACAACTAAAACAAACTCTTCAAGCTGCTAATGCAGAAGTAGATAATTTGATATTGCAGAACAATGACTTGCAAAGGGAACTAGAAAACTGCCAGATGGTGATTAAATTACTAAGAGCTATACAAACTTTAGGACCTGAAAAAATACGCGGTATGTCACAAGCCAGCTTGCAGTCAAAACACAACTTTTCAATAAAATTCAAAAAAACGCAGTAACTCAAACCGATGATAATCCGATCTCACAAAATATTAAAATAAAAAAGAATAAAAGAATTAAATTGCTATTAAAACCTAAAATTAAATATGCAACTAAAAACCTTCTTAAAAAATTAAAATACAAAATAAGAGGGTTCGAAAATTACAGAAAGAACTGAAAAACTTAAAGATAGAGAAGAATAGAATACAACATAAATTATTGGAATTGGAAACACTTACTAAACTAAAAATATCAACGAAGGTCCAGAAAAAACAAGAAATAATACATAAGCAGGAAAACTACTCTTCGAAGCTGCAAGGAAAAGGAAATAAAATAGAAACATCAGAAAGAGACAGGGCACAAAGCGGAAAAATAAAAGAGAACACAAAAACACTGACAAGAATAGAAATGTTTTCGGACAGAATAGGGAGTGGACTAGCAATCAAACTAATGTAACAATTGGAAAATACAAAAATAACAAATTACTGTCAAACAGGGGGGAAATCATAAACAAATATTGAAGCACTTTGATTTATATACCAAAGATTTGAAAGAAAATGACTTGGCGGTAATACTAATAGTAAACTACGACATTAAAATGGGGACATTATATGTGGATGAAATTCGAAGAATTGTGAGCAAAGGAAATAGAAAATGCAACATTTTGTTAGGAAGTATAATATACAACAACATAAATGATGATAAAATCTTTACTATTAATAAAGAACTCTTTAATCTAGCTGCGGTATCTGAGAATGTCAGATATCTTGAAATAAATGTAAAAGTCAAGGTAACGGTAAAAAATATAGTGATTGAGGAAACTGTTAAAAGTATCAAAGATAGTCACTTTAATGCTTCGTCGTGTTTGCACTTTATCAAATTAAATTCTAATTTAAATTGTTCACTATATTTTTTAGAAACAACCAATACTCCATTAACTGGTTAATTTTATTTTTCCGGACCGATACGACCTGGGGACCTTCAAGAAAAGAGCTTACTCCTTTCTAAAGGGCCGGCAACGCACCTGCAAGTCCCCTGTTGTTGCGGTTGATCATGGACGGCGGTAGTCACTTAACATCAGGTGAGCCGCATGCTCGTTTGCCCCTCTTCTATAAAAAAAAAAAACGAAACACAGCAGCATCAAACTACTATTTCACGCTGGTATTCTGTGAGAGCGTGGTCCTTTCCCCGATCGAGCCGATCCATTAGTGCTACAACTACACTACTAATATAACTGCAGCATGGCTCCCATGAATAAAAATATCAAATGTATAGCATAAGGGTGGAAAAACAAGCACACGCTTAATAGAAACTGAACGCTTCTGTTTTTCGTATGGTGAGTGTTTACTTTTTATGGTGACTTTTTACTGGAAACGTGGCATTCCAACTTAGTCCTCAGGGGTGGCGGCAACACATCCGCATTTTTATTTTTAATCAAGGATAGATATCCATGGGCTACATCATCCATTTACCATCAGGTGGACTATGTGTTCGTTTGCTATCCTAATTAATCAAAATAAAAGGTAATGTAGGAACACATAAATACCAATTTAATATTTAAAAGTAAAAATTGATAGTATATTTTATGTTTTAGACATGTTGTATATTTTTTTGTATATGGGTGTATTTTTATTTTTATATATATTATTTTTATAATCTAACTACTAGTTACGGTATGTAAACAATAACTATTTACAAAGCATTGTGGTAACTTGTCAAACTTTACTTAGCAGTTTGAAAAGCTGCTCTGCCGAAAACACCAATATTAATATGCTATTGTACACATTATTATTTTTTTTTATTTTTACGACAAGTGGATAAACGAGCACACGATTTACTCTATGGGATGGATGTTACGGTCCACAGCCATCTACATTTATCTTGGATTAAGAATCAAAATGCAAATGCGTTGTTACCCGTAAGAAATATTAAAGTTCTCTACGCTTATATGAAACACAATTCAATCCATGTCCTAATCATCCCTCAGGTCAATCGATACGATATGTACTAAATATCGAGAGCATGAAATTTTTGCCGTTCGGGTATAATGGTAAACAAACATCTTTACTATGCGCTCCGCTCGCGCGCGACTCAAGTCCAAAAAACTAGCGTATACTTTTGTTTTTCATGACACGTAATACGTTACTATTTGTTTTAAGGAAAAAATTGCCAACTCAGTAGAGCTACCTTTTTTAAAACCAAACTGAGCGTCACTTATAAAAATAAATTTCGATAAAATATCCAGAATAATAGACTCAAATAGTTTCGCACAGGTTGTAGCGATTGAGATAGGCCTATAATTGGAACTGATCGTATCGCTAACGGTTTTACTTTTGACAATAGGGCTAACCACGCATTTTATTAGGTCAGGAGGCAAAAATGAGTTTTTTAAACACGCGTTAATAAAAACCTAAAGAAACACCACAACCTAGGGTCCACCGCAACGTAAATGTTCTACCAATATGTGGTCATGACCACACGCTTTACCAAGGTGCATCTTTTTAAGGGCATTATACACCGCACTCTCATCAATATGAGTATATGATAAAACAGGCATATCAAGTGTATCTATAGCAGAAGGGCCACCACTAGAATAGCAGTCATTCAACAAAAAGTTCTGTTTAAAATTATTAGCTATCTGTTTTTTGTCGCTAACACCATCCACGCAGACCGGAACTTCAACCCTTATGTTGCATAGTTTTGATGTATGTTGCCAAAATTTAGAAAAGTTATTGTCTATACATGCGTTACTTATCCGCTCCAATAAAATTTTATTTTCGTTTTTCTGGCATCACTTTAAGTGACCTTTAAATATACACCTACTTTGCTTCATCATATCATAGAGAGAATCAGATCTGGGAGCCCCCGCCCCGATCCACCTTGAAGTTAGTAGTATAGTATAGTCCTCTACATGGCTCGCTGAGCGACTTTGAGCTGCATTAGACGACCAGCAGTGAAAGACCACGTCTCAGATCCGTAAGTCATCACTAGCAACACGCACTTGTTGTACAATCTAGTTTCCAGGTTTTAAAGTATACCTGATATGTCGTAATTTCCCGGATGCTGCCCAGCTGAGTTAAATCCGTCGATTGACCTCTCGGTCGAAGTTGGACTTGCCTAGTCGGACTACTCATCCCATGTAAACGTACTCGCTAACAACTTCGAGCTTTGTGCCTCCAACATCTAGCGGCATAGGTGTGACATGGACTTTAAATATGATCCTTGTTTTGCCCATGTTCATCTTGAGACCTATCCGTTAGAAGACACTATTGAGGTCATTGAGCATAGTGATTAGGTCATCCAGCGATTTTGCTATAAAGACTTTATCGTCGGCAAATCGAAGGTGAGTGATTTACTCGCCATTGATGTTAATACTGTGTCCTTTTCAGTAGCTTGAAAACGTCTTCCAATGGAGCTGGGAAGAGTTTCGGGGATGTGTCGTCACCTTGTCTTACACCTCTCTGCAATCGGATAGGTTTCTAACTCTGATTCTGTACTCGGATAGCCATCGTAGCTCTACTATACAAACACTTCAGCACTTCGATATACCGACAGTCAACTTGACACCGCTGAAGGAACTGCAGCACCGCTCTAATTTTGACGGAATTAAAGGTTTTCCCATAGTCCACATACCCCAGGAAAAGTGGTAGATTTTACTCTTCGGTTTTCTGCAAAATTTGTCGCGGGCTATGTATCCGTAGTGCTGAAGCCTTTTTGGAAAGCGGTTTGTTCGGGAGGCTGAAAGTCGTCGAGTCTGCGTGAGAGACGATTCGAAATGACTCGAAAAAAATAGATGCGGAAATCGGTCTGTATTTCTTTAAGAAAGCAATGTTGCCTTTGTTGAAGAACAATACCACCACAATTTTGCTCCACGCCTCTGGAGTATTGCCAGTGTGGAGGACAGAATTGAAGAGCTTTTGAAGGACTTTAAGTACCGTTGTTCATCCCGCTTCCACGAGCTCCGCTGAAATTCTATCTTTGCCTGGGCCCTTGCCGTTTTTAAGGTGCTGAAAAGCTATTCTAATCTCGCTCAGACTGACGTCCGGGATATCATCGGAATAATGTCGGCTATGACTTGCTCTTGCATCATTACTCAGACTTGCGTGTGGCTGCAACGACGATGTATACAGCTGCCCATAGAAAAAAAACTCACTTTTCAGCTTTGATAGTTTTCTCTTTCTGGCAGACAGATCTATGGTTAAAACTTTGAAGCCCGGATTCCGCTTGATCGCTTCTTCAGTACTTGCTAGTACTGAAGAAGCGATCAAGTTGTATTAAAGTTCCGTAGGTTCCACCGCATGCATTTGGAGATCTGTCTGTTCAGTAGCATGTATGCTGTCATATCTGCTGACGACTACAGCTTCATCTAAAATTTAAGTTCATACACAAACCGATGTAATCATCAGCAAATATTATATTATATTTACGAAGATTTCGTAATCATTACATATTAAATATGGAATTAACTTGCATTTTTTTAACACTCAAAATTACGAGATTTTTGGGTATGAAACGCTATCCCTATGAGAGCAGGTCGGAAGAAGGCTCTATCGCATTGTTCCGGGGAATGTACACACGCAAAGCACAGATTTTTTACAGTTTAACGCAACTTGCTCTGCACTTTCTTTTAGTGTTGATATTGCATTGGTTCCTTTTTCCTTCGTAATAACTTTCACAAAGTTGGTTACGTAGTCGTAAACATTTATGGATAATAATTCTCTACTATTTTATGCAATATCTCGCTTTAAAGATAACCACATATTGTGGTTATCTTTATTAAATTAATAAAAAATGATTAGCTATGTATATTTGGTAATAACAGGATTTTATTTCATAAATATTAAATACGTATATTGATTATGATTTTAAATGCTTATTACGCAATCAAAATATCTACATCCACAAATTTTTACTTATCTACATTATAGTACAAAGATTAAGTATAATTCTGGTAAAATTTGCTCTCGCTGTAAGTAGGATGATTTGTGAAGGAAAATTGAAATTGGATAATAACACCTTG